TTTTCGAATACATAGTTTGATAGAGACCCGATAGAGGTCTAGGTATGGACTATAGAATAGTCTATAGTCTGGACTATAGAATAGTCTATAGTCTGGACTATAGAATAGTCTATAGTCTGGACTATAGAATAGTCTATAGTCTGGACTATAGAATAGTCTATAGTCTGGAATATAGAATAGTCTATAGTCTGGACTATAGAATAGTCTATAGTCTGGACTATAGAATAGTCTATAGTCTGGACTATAGAATAGTCTATAGTCTGGACTATAGAATAGTCTATAGTCTGGACTATAGAATAGTCTATAGTCTAGACTATAGAATAGTCTATAGTCTGGACTATAGAATAGTCTATAGTCTAGACTATAGAATAGTCTATAGTCTGGACTATAGAATAGTCTATAGTCTAGACTATAGAATAGTCTAGTCCTATAGTCTATGTGGACTATAGAATAGTCTATAGTCTGGGACTATAGAATAGTCTATAGTCTGGACTATAGAATAGTCTACTAGTCTGGACTATAGAATAGTCTATAGTCTGGACTATAGAATGTCTATAGTATGGACTATAGAATAGTCTATAGTCTGGACTATAGAATAGTCTATAGTCTGGACTATAAATAGTCTATAGTCTGGACTATAGAATAGTCTATAGTCTGGGACTATAGAATAGTCTATAGTCTGGACTAGAATAGTCTATAGTCGGACTATAGAATAGTCTAAGTCTGGACTATAGAATAGTCTATAGTCTGGACTATAGAATAGTCTATAGTCTGGACTATAGAATAGTCTATAGTCTGGACTATAGAATAGTCTATAGTCTGGACTATAGAATAGTCTATAGTCTGGACTATAGAATAGTCTATAGTCTGGACTATAGAATAGTCTATAGTCTGGACTATAGAATAGTCTATAGTCTGGACTATAGAATAGTCTATAGTCTGGACTATAGAATAGTCTATAGTCTGGACTATAGAATAGTCTATAGTCTGGACTATAGAATAGTCTATAGTTCTGGACTATAGAATAGTCTATAGTCTGGACTATAGAATAGTCTATAGTCTGGACTATAGAATAGTCTATAGTCTGGACTATAGAATAGTCTATAGTCTGGACTATAGAATAGTCTATAGTCTGGACTATAGAATAGTCTATAGTCTGGACTATAGAATAGTCTATAGTCTGGACTATAGAATAGTCTATAGTCTGGACTATAGAATAGTCTATAGTCTGGACTATAGAATAGTCTATAGTCTGGACTATAGAATAGTCTATAGTCTGGACTATAGAATAGTCTATAGTCTGGACTATAGAATAGTCTATAGTCTGGACTATAGAATAGTCTATAGTCTGGACTATAGAATAGTCTATAGTCTGGACTATAGAATAGTCTATAGTCTGGACTATAGAATAGTCTATAGTCTGGACTATAGAATAGTCTATAGTCTGGACTATAGAATAGTCTATAGTCTGGACTATAGAATAGTCTATAGTCTGGACTATAGAATAGTCTATAGTCTGGACTATAGAATAGTCTATAGTCTGGACTATAGAATAGTCTATAGTCTGGACTATAGAATAGTCTATAGTCTGGACTATAGAATAGTCTATAGTCTGGACTATAGAATAGTCTATAGTCTGGACTATAGAATAGTCTATAGTCTGGACTATAGAATAGTCTATAGTCTGGACTATAGAATAGTCTATAGTCTGGACTATAGAATAGTCTATAGTCTGGACTATAGAATAGTCTATAGTCTGGACTATAGAATAGTCTATAGTCTGGATTATAGAATAGTCTATAGTCTGGACTATAGAATAGTCT